TTTGAAGATTAGGCTGAAAATCAACTGGAGGGGGTGTTTTCCTGTGGTTTTTCCTATCTGTTCCATGTTATTGTTTCTCTCCTGTGGCATTTTTAAAATAGAATTATAAAGCTGGGATCTTAGAGGTCTTCTAATCCAATCTGCCTTGCATTCAGATATGTTCCTCTTCTGGTCCTGGACAATATGTTGGCTTACTCTACCTTCTCCCACCCCACCCCCTCTTTTTTTTTTTTTTTTTTTTACTAAATTAGCGGTCTCCAAAGTTGGAAACTTTTAAGACTTTTGTGGATTTCAAGCCACAAAGTTCCTCAGCCAGCTGGCTGGGGTATTCTGGGATTTGAAGTCCAGAAGTCTTAAAGTGTCCAATTTTGAAGACCTCCTGTGCTAAATGATGGAGGGAAGGTTTTTTTCGTGTAGTGTCATATATTTCTAAAAGTATTTTGGGTGTGCAAGAAGGAATGGTCTGTGCAGATGGAGATCAGTTTATTTTGTAAATGTGGTGTCTTGATTTACTGACCATTAATTGTAATTGTTCATTTTTCTTCTCCTTTTATATCCCAGGTGGTCCTTGTTTGTTTGTTTAAAGAACATAAGTTCTCTATGTATATTTACACACATTTGGGAGGTGGATGGAAAAATCCCCAGGTCTGGTCTCAGATTAAAATCAGTGACCAAGTTGGTTGCCAAGATGTAGAAACTAGGCAAAACATAGGACTTTTCTGCATGCTTTTAATTCAGTCTGATTTCTCCATCTAACCTTCCTTCTATGGCTGTGATGGTGAATCTATGGCACGCATGCCACAGGTGGCACGCGGAGCCATTTGTTAGGGCATGCGAGGCATTGCCCTATTAGGTCCAGTGCGGATGCGTGCACTGGCTAGCTGACTTCGGCCTTCATTTTTGCCCATTTTCGCACTCTGGATGCTTTGGAGGATTAAAAACGGCCTTACGGGCAAACCGGATGTCCGTTACCAAATTTTTGCCCATAGGGCCGTTTTTCGGCCTGCAGGGGAGGGCGAGGAAGGCTGTTTTCGCCCTCCCCAGGCTCCTAGAAAGCCTCTGGAGCCTGAGGAGGGTGAAAAACGGGAGGGAAGCGGGTGGGATCATGTGCATAGAATTATGGGTGTGGGCATGCCCGTGCACGACCCCCCTGCGCTCCCCCCGCTTTTGGCACGTGGTGGGAAAAAGGTTAGCCATCACTGTCCTATGGGATCATCTTAAATTTAGGGCCATCTTTATTTTTGAATATATGCAATATTACCTTTGTAACGTTGAGCAATGGTTGGTCCCACTGCATTGGCTTATATGTCCCAAAGGTGCTTTTTCAAGAGGCAACTGGACTTCCTTGTTTTTCTTTGAAGACGTTTCGCTTCTCATCCAAGAAGCTTCTTGGATGAAAAGTGAAATGTCTTCAAGGAAAAACAAAGTAAGTCCCAGTTGAAAAAGCATCTTTGGGGCAACCGTGACCTGGATGACTTGAGGATCTCCCTAGACATTTGCTTATATGGATATTTGCTGTGATATGTCAGATCTGTTGTCTTGGATAAATGTCCCCCACCAATTTCATTTTATTCCAGTAACACTGGAATAAACTAACACTGGAACACTAAGAGGCAAAAGAGGATAAGAGAGTAAAAGGGAAATTCTGAGCTTAACATCTGTAATGTGATCTGCATATGCAGCAGAGGATTCTGAGATAATTGAATAAATTGTGGTTATAAGTAGTCCTCGATTTAGGACCATATTTGTACTCCAGATTTCTATGGCTAAGCAAGACTAATGAATTTTGCCCCATTTCGTGTTGCCATTGTTAAGTGAATCACTGAAGCTGTTAAGTTAGCAACATAATTGTGAACTGAATCTGGCTTCCACATTAACTTTGACATCATGGGCCAATCCCTTGCTGATTCCAGGGCGGCCCTGCGGGCCACATCTAAGCACCCCGCGGGCCAGATCCAGCCCACAGGTCTTAAGTTTGACACCCCTGGACTAGCGCAAGTAAGATTGAGAATTTAGAAGAACTTTTCTCCATAATCCCCCCCCTCCATATTTTCAGAGGCTGATCTGGATAAAGGGAGTCATTCCAGAGCTATGCGACATCTCAAGTTATATGTTTTGCTTTTTCTCATTGCACAGCTGTATGCCCCTGTTTGACCTATTGGAGGATGTAATCGGAGCTTCTGGACAGCTGCAGGTGGCTTACCAGATGTTGTCACTGGAAAGAACAGAGCTAAAATGTTTTAGCTTAGTTAGAAGGGAAGGGGGAAGGAGTGCCTTTGAGAAGCAAGCTCATTTGGTGGTCTTGCTGAATTTTGAGATGTTGTGGGACACAAATGGCCACTTCATTTAGCTCACAAGCTACAGGATTCCTGCTGTTGTAAATTCAGCCATCCCTGGCTTGGTTTGGTTTTAATTGTGGTGCCTTGGAATTTGCTTGAAATTTTATAGAGGGTCTCGCTTGAAGCTGCAGGATTATCGTAAAGGAAAATGCAAGTACAACTCAATAATCTACCTGCAATGTGTAACAGTTTCTAGGCCTCTGCCATTGGGTTATATTTTTCCCAAAATACCTGGGAAAACCTAAATATACCTAAATATGTCTGGAAGTCCAGTGACTGCTAATTTGCAATCTCATCTGTTTCTGTGCCAAATGGATTACATGTTGTAAGGACTGCATTATTTTTGCAAAGCAGTTTATGCATTCAGGTAGCATTACCATATTTTTCGGAGTATAAGACGCACCCTTTTCCCTCAAAAAAGAGGCTGAAAATCTGGGTGCATCTTATACAACATTTTTTGTCTCCCGAAACCCCGCTCCCTTCACCAAAATGGCTGTGCAGAGGCTGTAGGAGGCTTTCAGAGAGCTCCTGGGGGCTGGGGAGGGCAGAAATGAGTGAAAATGAGCTGTTTTTTGCTCAATTTGCCCCCCCCCCAGTCCCCAGGAGTACTCTATAAGCCTCCTAAAGGCTATGCATGCAATTATTTTGATGAAATATGGGCCCAGTTTTGTGAAAAATGGGCTGTTTTTTGTTCATTTTGGGGGGGCACCCCCCAGGAGCACTCTACAAGCCCCCTAAAGGCTATTCATGCCTTTTCGGGGGGGGGAAATGGGCCTCGAAAGTCTGTTCGTGCGTGCGTAATAATACTGATTCTTCCCTTCTCTTCTAGTGTCTCATTATTGGGGCTGGACCCTGTGGCCTTCGGACAGCCATTGATCTCTCCTTTTTAGGAGCAAAGGTGGTGGTGATAGAAAAGCGTGATGCCTTCTCCCGCAACAATGTTCTGCATCTGTGGCCGTTCACCATTCATGACTTGAGAGGTCTCGGCGCCAAAAAGTTCTACGGCAAATTTTGTGCAGGAGCCATCGACCATATCAGTAAGGACTGTTTACAGGTGGAAGGGATGGATAATATATGATGTTACCATAATAAAGACCAATGGATTGTATCAGGGTTTTCATGCATGAGGTAGACTTAAGAAAGAGATGCTAGTGTGAAAGGCTAGGCCAGGTGTCAGCAACCCACGGCTCTGGAGCCACATGCGACTCTGCTGTGGCTCCCTCCTTGGCTGGCTCACCTCGCCCTCCCCTCCCAGGCACTCCTTGCGTGGCCTGAGAAGGTAAGGGCGATGGTGGGATGGAGACTCACTCCATATTCCAGAGCAGGAGGGAAGCACCCCTGTACTTGCCTCTCATCTCGCGGACGCTTCTTCCAGTGCTGTGCGCACCTCAGTTGCTCAAGGAGACGCATGACTTTCTCTCTGCCCCGAGACACTGGCCCAGCTGGCCTGGCTGTGGCTAACGCTACTGCTCTTGCCGCCTCCATGGCCTTGCACAGCAACTTAAATTCAGCACTCTTCCCAATGGGGGAGATGCCGTCCCTTCCTCCTCCTGGAGTGCATTACGACGTCATGAGTACAGGGAGGGAGGGAGAAAGGAAGAGGCTGGGGAAGGAGGGAGAGTGCGAGAGAGAGACCCATTTCCCACGAAAACCCCCATGAGCTACAAAATCTGGTACACGTGGCTGAAAGGGTGCCATGTGACTGGGTGGGAGTCATATTGAGTTGGCCACGCCCACTCAGGTTTTGTGGCTCCCAGTGTCTTTTCTGTGGGAAACAGGTCCAAATGACTCTTTGAGTGTTTAAGGTTTCAGCCCCCTGGACTAGGCATAAGGCATAAGTTGAGAAGAAAGCATGAGTAATTTGAAATTTGGAAGTTTATATTTTATACATAGCAATAGTAATAGCAGTTAGACTTATATACCGCTTCATAGGGCTTTTAGCCCTCTCTAAGCGGTTTACAGAGTCAGCATATTTCCCCCAACAACAATCCGGGTTCTCATTTTACCCACCTCGGAAGGATGGAAGGCTGAGTCAACCCTGAGCCAGTGAGATTTGAACAGCCGAACTGCAGAACTGCAGTGAGCTGAAGTAGCCTGCAGTGCTGCATTTAACCACTGCGCCACCTTGGCTCCATATACCACCAGCTTTAATAAAATCTTCTTTAAAAACCGGAAATACACTTTTATCCCAATAGTGAGGCTGGGATCTATAGGGTAGAAGGAGGTTCCAGGCCTCCTATCCCAAACCTCATTTGGGACCTCATTCTCTAGCCCCCTGCTTTGCACTGGGATAGCAGCCGTGTGTTTCCTGTTGCTATTATCCAGAGAACATATCACTTGGCATCCATAAACCCAGTGGGAAAGAGTGGAGCAGGATTTTATACCCTGTGTTGGTGATTAAAAGGTAAAAATACCAAAGATGAAATATTATCTACCTGGTTATATATCATAGAGATGTGGTGACTAGAACATTTACCTTTATCTCAATTGATCTCACAGTAAATGAAGAAAATCAAGCTCTTATAAAGTAAAATGAAAAATCTTTTTTTTTTCTTGCAATCATTCAAATGATGACATTCAGTATGGGGAAAGATAAATTCAGAAAACCCCAGTTCATACTAATGCAGCAACTTACCAATTCACTGAGAAAGAACATTTCAGAAGATAATGCAGTATTCTGAACAGACCAGCAGGTGGTGGAATCTGCCACAAAAATTGAGGATCATAAGATTCTTTTTTAAAAAAGTTATATCTTCATCAGTATAACCTGAATTATAAATGAGAGTTGAAAAGAAACACTCATGTCCAGGAAGTTTACAGAGACAAAGAAAATGAGGATTAGTACAGAGCAGAAAACAGAAAGCCACAAATTCTGTGTTTTATCTGTTTACCACAAGTAGCAGCTTTCCTGAAGTAAAAAGTTCTCAGCTTCAACTTCTTGGCGTTCCCAAGTGTTTGTCAAAAGCTGCTGGGAAAAATGGAAATCAATATTCAAATCTTTCTATATCTAGCATTTGGAAATTGTGGTCTCTCTGACTCCGGATTAGTCCATGTATGTGTCAAAGAGCCATCCATCACTTTTAGAGATGTGGATTTTTAGCATATACAATTAAGTGCAAATTACATTCACATCAAACTCTTGTTAATAACAGATCCAGTGTGATGCTTTTATTCTGAAATGGAGCCATAATCTGTATATGATAGAAGTTAATAAAATTTAAAACACTCCATGGATTTGAGAGCTGTTACTATCTGAAAGAGAACTCTAATAGGCAGCTTAGTTATTCAAGAAGGAAATCCACACAATAATTTTCTCCCGACTATCATGATTAAATGGAACAGAACTTGGAGTAGTTTTGTTTTGCCTGATTTATGGCCAGTTCCATTTGGAACTTACTTTGGAAAGTTCTTCTTTGTTCTTTCCAAGGTAAAAAAAGCATTTTCAGGTGCTTTTAATAATTTTGTTGACTAGATTACATTTTAAATGACAAGCTCTTCCACAGATCTTTGAAATGACTGTTGAATAAATTGTGAAGAATGTGTTTTCTTTATTACTATCTCTGCTTCTGTTCCTCAGGTATTCGTCAGCTTCAGCTGATACTCTTGAAGGTCTCCTTAATTCTTGGTATTGAGATCCATGTCAATGTTGAATTTCAGGGTCTTCTCTGCCCTCCTGAGGACCAGGAGAATGAGAGTAAGTAGGGTTGGCATTTATAGCAAACTCGGGGCGAAATTCTTGCTCTGTATACAATGCCTAAGGAATTACTTTTGTACAGGTAGTCCTCGAGTTAACGACCACAATTGAGCCCAAAATTTAGGTTGCTAAGTAAGAAATTTGCTAAGTGAATATTGCTCCGTTTTACGACTTCCCTTGCCATGTTTTGTTTGAGTGGATCATTGTAGTGTTTAAATTATTAACATGGTTGTTAAGTGAATCTGGCTTTCTCGTTGACTTTGCTTGTAAGACGGTTGCAGAAGGGGATCCCGTAACCCTGGGACTCTGCACCCATGATAAATATGAGTCAGTTGCCAAGCGTCTGAATTTTAATTGCATGATTATCAGAATGCTGCAACAGTCATAAGTGTGAAAAATGTTCATAAGTCACTTTTTTCAGTGCCATTATAACTTTGAATGGTCACTAAATGTTGTAAGTCGAGGACTACCTGTATAAGGCAGCATGATGGCTCAGCGGTTAAGACGTTGAGCACGGAGTGTCACTCAACAGGGTGAGCTCCCATTTGCTCCCTAACTCCTGCCAACCTAGCAGTTTGAAAGCATGCAAATGCAAGTAGATGAATAGGTACCACTTGTTTTGACCCAGGCTTCTCCAGCAGCACCTTTTATTTAATTTACAGTGAATTCCTCTCCAGCAAAGTGCCAGCCCACAGTCTTTCAAATTAGTTCACAATTACTGACCTTTATTAGCCTTGGAGAGTGGCCAGGCCCATATCTTTCAGACACTGCAATACTTGGGAAGAACGCAGGAATGAAGTAATTGTCTCCTGCAAATACCCATCCCCTTTTGCTCCTCTTTTATTCCCTATGGGAGGGGGCATTCATCGTCCACCTGTGGCTTTACTCCCAAGTCGCCCCTTGTACCTTAGCTGTTCCCTTCGTCTGGCAACTCTGCGCATGCGCACACTGGGAACAGGCTCCAGCTATTTGTCTGACTTCGAAGGTAGCTGATAACTGTCAGATGGCCCTGGCCCCATCTCTGCCTCCGACACAGAGCACTCGTCAGAGCCTTCCTCAGACTCCAGAACTGGCCAAGGTTTTCCCCCAACTGAGATTCCTCACTGTCTGAATCTGCTGCCAGTCCGCTGGCAGGCTAAACACCACTTTAGTGGGAAGGAAACAGTGCTCCATAACATCATGCTGGCCACATCATGCTGGCAAAAATGTCTTCAGACAGTGCCAGTTCAAAGATACTTGAAACGGAGATGAGCACTGCCCCCTATCGTCAGCAATGGTTAGCGGAGGAAAATCCACAGGGACTTCTTTACCTCTCCTCTTGTATAATCAGAACATCATGAGTAGTGACTGTATGTGGCTACTCCATTTTACAGATATAATGAGATGGTTAACTTTCCACACTGGTACTGAAAGGCCCAGTTACATATTGCTTGAGTGTGCAGTCCATGTACATGTCTGTATCCGTGTTTGTACGTGGTGTGTTAATATATACTTTATCCACAGGGATAGGTTGGCGTGCACAAGTCCATCCAAAAACACATCCTGTGTCGGAGTACGAGTTTGATGTGATAATTGGAGGGGATGGAAGGCGAAATACTTTGGAAGGTAACTGTTACTGATGTTTATGCTGATGTGTAGGGCATGCCTGCAGCCCAACTATTGCCAGGTTAGCCCTACTGGCTGAGGATGATGGGAAAGGAAGTCCATCACAGACTTCTGCAGCCTCTGCTTATTACTGCATTATGCTGTTTTTCTCGTGACCCTTTACCCAGGGAGACATTTGGGAATGGGAATAAATTATATTAAATATGTAGACTGTGTGTTCAACCAAGTTATACAAGAGAGTCCTTCTTAAGTTCTTTTCAGTTTTATGTCCTGGATCACAGGTCTTCAAACTTGGCTCCCAGAATTCTGGGAGTTGAAGTCCACAAGTCTTAAAAGTTGCCAGGTTTGGGGACCCCTGTCCTAGATAATGGAGCTGGGAAAAGAATTTTCAACTAAGATTTGTTAGCTGAATTGTTATCAGGCAGAGTTGAGAAAAGCCAGACGAAGTGATGACTTAACTAAGTGTGGAGTTGTATTTGTTTATCTGCTTCCAAAAAACAAAAACAAAAATTTCCATAACTCTTTGCGCATTACGTTGTACACGTACCTTAGTACAGTTTCATTTCCAAGGGAGAAAATTAAATGCATGGTTGGTTACTATAGATAAAATCATCCTGTGTATTCATCAAACTCTCCCCCCCCCCCCGCCCCAGGCAGTTGATTTCGAAATTGAGGCCTGTTTTGTCATTGCGTATTTGTTCTGTAGGGTTTCGGCGAAAAGAGTTTCGT